GACAAGAAAATCTATACTAAACTGTTCCCCGCATCATTTTACTGACGGTGTTATCCATAACACGGCTATTGACCTGTATGAAGCATTACTATATTTACTGAATGTGACTGACCTCTTGTTTAAGCAGCACTTTAAAGTTAGCAATAACCACTAAAGCCTAGGCTGTGAAATATGCTTCAAAAAGTTTGTGTGCTAAATCTAGACCACAAAAAAAAAAAACAAGAAGAAATAAGTATCATAGATAAGAGTATTGCCAGGTTATAGGCTTCGACCTGGTGTATTTGTGGCAAGCATGGGCTATTCAAATGCTATCAGTAGCTACTAGTAATGTGCTTGAATTTTTAACAGTTAACTGTTAGGATACGTTGGGCAATGTTACAGCAATATACCTACTGTTACTACTGTATTTGGGAAAACCATGAAAATACGGAATATCGTAGAAACTGTAGTACGTCTAATATAAGCAGCATAATCTACAGTAATTATTGTACAAAACTCATTAATGTAGCGACTGAAAATTATGATGATATGTAGATAACTGAATGTAGCCTACGTGACGCCTTCGTAGCAAATTGAATTACTCTTAATTAGAAAGAAGGATAGCGAGTTTAGTTGCTAGCGTCTTTCAAAATAAAAGCGCTAAAACTGTGAGTAAAAGTGTAGTAGACGGTGATTTAGATTTGCGTGTCTTGGCATAGCACTACACGGAATACAAAAATATATCTCAGTCGTGTTGACTATAAAGATATAGGTGTCGCTATACCAACAGATAGGTAATTCAATTTTGTGAACATATACGCCCACACGCTTTGAGTCTTCTCTGCTTATTGCATTCAAATATCGGTCGTGAAAGATTATATGAATGCACTAAAGGTATCCGCAACACAATTACAAAATGTATGCATCTTTCAGTTATAGGCGTGATTCCGTTATTCCATATCTATGGGGACATTGCTTGTACCGAGCGGCGTCTAGTTGTAATCAAATTAGTGTCAGGGATTTTGGCATGTAGCATTAATGTTGCATTTTATCATACTCATGGGAGGGTTGGGTGTTAGAGGATTGGCACCATGTATGCATGCTTTGTCCATAATTACAGCAAAGCTTGGAAACCTGTGTAGTCTTGATAAAATCATGCTGTTGCTAGCGCAAGGCCCCAGTATTGGGTCCAAGCCAGATTCTAAGTCATTTGCCCTTCTGTCATGCATTTTGCCTGTCAATCTTTCACCCACGTTCTGTCTGGACAAAAACTTACTGTACGCCAAAAAGCAGTTACTCAAGCAACTGGACAGTGACAGTGACACACTGTCACTGACGAAAGCTAGTGGATACTAGCTGAAACGTCTGACGTTCCAAAATCATATCCAGTTGCTTGAGTAACTGCTTTTTGGCGTACCTTATTACCTGGATGTCTAACCTTCATCGACGTAAAAACTTACTGTGTCTGAACAAATAGATACACACAAACGCATAGCCAAGCCTCCCCTAAAATGCTGTACTTCCGAAACTAAAACTACGAACGAAACTCAATACATAGCTAATGTCAGTTGGCAGCTCTGTATCACCCGAAACCAGATTGAGAAGACAGGTAGCTAGAGTGTCATAATCGTTAAATTTGAATGCTCCAACTCATCTCTTTTCATGCATGTTTCCAGTTCATCCTTCCTCCTATTTCCCTTCCATCGCCTTCATGACTTGTGCTGATGATAGTGATAACCATAGATGTAAGCCTGAGCCGAGTGAAGCCCACCGACCAATTTCCTTCCAACTTCCCGGTAATTTCCGCTTGTCTATTGGCTGAGGGCGACTCGTTTCATCTTTCAAAGTTGGTAATGTTCTGTCCTACCCTCTCCTTTTTGAATGTTGCTACCCTAGTTTATTCTGTTCAATTTAGAAGTTTGAAGTAAAAAAAATATAGCTTTTTAGACAATAGATGTTAGTTAGATTAGCTGTTGTTGGCTGGTGATTGACTGCGCCAGCCAAATGCTTCAAACATTCGGGTTTGGGCGAGAGGTTGGGCCATCGTTGAGTATTAGTTGGCAGATGGTTGGGAGTGGGTAATCAGCCTTCGGGGACCAATTCGGACCCAAATGTAACTCAAATTCTATTTGATTAATAAGGAACGGTAGGCGTGGCCCAAATCTGGTCAGACTGCTCCTGAACTTCAGCCTACCTTGACTTTTTGGAAGGAAGTCAAGGAAAGAAGGTTCTGAATGTGTGGCAGGTTCTGAATGTGTGACAGTGGCTCAACTTTGCATGAGAAATGAGGAAGGTTCAGAATATGTGTGACAGTGGATTAACTTTGCATACGTTTCCCGGTAATGCATTTCCACATGTACAAAAGTCGGCGGAGATTCCCTCCTCACTGTTTATCCCACCTGGTCCAATAAATCACACCCTAAAGGAAGCAGATTTCCTGCATGATAGAAAGACTCCGGCACTTCACATGGCAGTTCACACGCCCCGATACAGAAATAACGGCGCCTGGCGAACTACATAATCCCGGACATACATCTGCCGGACCTGGAATGGACTAGCCTCTACCAGGCTTGAGGGCGCGGCTGGAAATTGGCCAAATAGAGAGATAGCACACCGAGGGAGTTTAGCCATCCAGTTTACAGTGGGTCGTCAAACTGTGAACTGGATGGCTAAACTCCCTCGGCAAACTGTAAACTGGATGGCTAAACTCCCTCGGCGTGTCATCTCTCTATTTGGCCAATTTCTACTATTTCCAGCCGCGCCCTCAAGCCCGGTAGAGGCTAGGAATGGACGTGGGTGGGCAGAAGGTGCTGAGTGTAGCTTGTCCCGGGGGCAGGCGGGATAACACTGGTCAGACGGGGCTTAAGTACAGACAGGTCGGTACCGTATGTAAAGCCTGCTTTCGAAACGGTTTGTCCCTGGAGGAGGGAGATAGCCGACTTGTACTGATTATTGTGCGCATATCATATAAGAAACGTCGGCTGGGGGCATAGAAATCAACACATTTACACGCCAACGTTCGTCACATACTGCGACTACTTTCCTGAGTGATTGCGAGTTTTTTTCATAACGAGTTTGGTCAGTTTAAAGCCACATAGACCACTTCTAGGCACTAAACTATAATACTCACTGAAGCAGCATCTCTCCTCCATAGGTCAGAAATATCAGGCTTAGGCAAGCTTGAATAACTGACTCAATAGGCGAAGGAAGAGTTCCAGGTTTGATGGAAGGTACGAGTACATGTTAGCATTTGCAGAAATACGTAGGCATAAAAAGGCGCACATTTCTGTGGGCTGAATACTGGTAACTTCCTGGCTCAAACACTGAATCATTTGAGACTCTCACCTAAAGCGTTTTATGCAAGTAGCACATAAGTTTAAACCTACGCATTTCAAATAGCAGGTTGGTACCGTTTGCAATACAAATAGAATGGTGATGTTCTCGACAACCAAAAGGTAGTTTTTCGTGCATTACTTAATACTTACTTTAATGCACGCAAAACTACCCTGTTTGCATTAGACATTGATCCACCCCCACCCAGAATGCAGTAAGGCCAATTAAGGCAAAAAGGATTAAAGCTAAGCCCGTAGATTACGGAGGTTCAGCCGGTGATATCTTTTATCATTACCTGATTGATGGTTCATGCATATATGGAGTGATATCAGGAAATGCGTGATAATTCTACTTAAAAAGAGAAACAGACAGCTTTCGTGATTTACTTGGACAAACTCAATATCTAAGTAATCCTTTTGACTTCTACTTTTCGTCAGTGACTGCTCAATTACAGATTCCGTTAGTCACTGAGGAAAAGAAAGTGATGGATCGATGCTTCTTGAAACGCCTGACAGTTTTTAAAATCTATCCAGTTGCTTGAGTAACAATTTCCTTGTTCGTTTTACCTAATGCCCAGAATCACGTATTCTAATATCCTTGACACAATTCCCCACATCAAAGCAGCACACAGGATCGAACGTTCTTTGAAGTTTTCTGCCTCTTTCATCAGTTGCCAAAACCCGCGCTATCGAACGAGTACACTGTAGTTAGCTGCTGACCTATTTCGACATTTTGCAACTTACCTAAAGCAAGAAATTCCCACCTTTTAACTAATCGATACTTTTATATCCAGGTAGTTTTGCCTGCTCTTTTACAAATTATCATATATCTTTAAATCATGTATGATTGAATATATTTAAGGGTACTAAGTGTCACTCCTTTAAACTTTTCTGCCTTTAATTTACAAGGAAAATTATAGATTTTGTTGGCCGTCTATAATCTACATAACGGGTATTAGGTCGTAATAAGAAAGTATAAATATAAAGTAATTAGGCCAGGGCTAGGTCTAGATTTTAACTTGTTAATAGATCTAGTTAACGCATAGATACGAATTACTTTGCTCGTTTTGCCAATCAATGGAGAAGCCTTCAGTTGCATGTTAATTAAGCTGAATAAAGTAAAATGTTATTTCTGTCAAGCAACCTATACTTGAGAGAAATAAAGTGTGAATGGCCTACAATCTGCAGTACCTTATATAACCGCTAGAGGCATTCATGAATCAGCTTGGAGGGCTAAAGAATACTGAAATGTACATGATTTATTATCTAACTATTTTATCGAGTCATGTCAATTTAATTCTTCTCAATTGGACGTCCATCGATGGAATGGTTTATGCAGTATAAACAGAGTTAATGTAATCTTTGTTAGTTTGTTTTGCGAGCTTGAGTATTTTGTAAGATCACTGAATACTCTATACGCTATAAAGAAGAACATTGCATGTCGTTATCTAAATAAAGGAAAGGACAGAAACCTTTCTGTTGTTTTATCATTCAATTTCCTTCAATGCCTTTCTGAACATGGATGGAGTTTTATGTTATTCAAAGTCGTGGCGCCACGAATTCCCAGCTGCCAAAACAAAGTTCCGGTATTTCATAGTTTGTTGTCGTGATGGGCACAAAGGTCCCAGTTCCGTGCTATGTGACCTCAATAATACAACACACCGATCCATGACGGTGCCGAGAAACATGTACTTGTAGCTACTGTATTAACCTGTGGAACGCATGGCCGAAACCGTAGTTACAGACCCAGGGTCTATTGTAGTGGAGACACGGCTCGCAACGGGTCCTCTGTATTGGGTACGAAGGTAGGTGGCTAATACTCCCAGTTCTACGTATAACGGTGTATAAAACGTAGCCTCCATAGCATGCCAAAAACTGAAGGGGTTGGGGGGTCTTCAGGGTCTTTGGGATCTTTTATAATTATGTGCTTTTTTCTGATTGCATTTAGACAACATAGCCGGCCTGGTTGAATTATCCCCGTTTTTTGACTATCAGAAAACAGCTGAAGACCACCAAACCCCCAGTTCTATAAGCCTGCTACGGAGGCTCTATAAAAAGAGACTACCCTAACTTTGCTTCGCGCCCCTTCCTAACCGGAATCACAAACCTGGCTGCGACCTGTTTTTATGGACGGTGCAGATTTGGGTCGGTAGACAGATAGACGTAATCTGTGGCTTCTGTCGGGTTTTGTCTTGTACGTATCCTATACGGGCAGCAGTACAGCCATGTAAGTACGGGTTTTGTAAAATGTATTTAGATTTCGCGTAGCATGATTCTGCAATAAGCAACATTTAGAATAGTTAGCTGTGGATATGTGCTGTCCTAAGGTAAAGTGTAGCCTCTACCAGGATTCGTACTCAGCTGGAAAGAGTAGAAATTGGCCAAGTCAACAGATAACATTCTGGGAGGGTTGGTCCGCTACAACCCCTGGCACGTTATCTGTTGACTTGGCAAATTTCTACTATTTCTAGCCGCTTTTGAAGCCTGGTAGAGGCTAGTTGATGTCCTAGCTAAATATGTGTAGCATTTACCTTTAGTCTCAGTTAGTTTAAACATTAAAAGATTCGTATATGCTGGTCATAAAATCGTTTGGTTTCACAAACATGTCCGTATACGTACAGCATTTTTATCACAAATATTGATCAAATACTGGCATCACAGATATAAAGATAATGCATAGAATATATATGGGTATACAGATGATGGGTATATATCCCTTGTATATATCCCAACCACCAACAAGAATCTAAGGCAGCCCTTTTCGTAATAAGGCAGCTGGATTTCGTAAGATACTTGCATGACTATCCCAAGGATGCTTTCAGTTTGCGATCGTGTGTCGATCACACGATCTTCGTGCGACAAACGTGTGTGGTCGGGCTCTAGTCTGCATCAGACTCCTTTGCAGGCTGAATAAATAGTAGAAATCGGCCGAACTTGCCTGTGTAGACAAGCTGGACCCTCTATGGCCGACCGACTCCCCCTTAGCCGATTTCTACTATCTATTCAGCCTGCCAAAGGAGTCTGGTGTAGACTAGTCGGGCTCTTGTGTCCATGGCTGGTACCGTTTTTAACGGTCAGGGGTCCCACATTAAATATGCGTGTTTGCTTAACCGGCACGACCGCGAACCAACAACCTGTCCACGCCTGAAGGACTGAAAACACAACTGCACTGTTTTCTGTAAACATTCACGCCGTGGTACACCCAAGGCTAGCATTGTTGATTTCCAAAGCCCAGTCTAACGTACATATTGCCTATGAAGAAAATAAAGCTACAACAATATACGAATAGTATGAAATACATTGACAAGTAATGGTCGTAACGTACTAGTACGTGTAACTGCTTCATACTTGTGTTTCTTGAAAAACAAGAGGCATTATTGAATAACCGATAGATTACCTCCAAGGCTAGTATTGGTGATTTTCAAACCTGAATCTACATTATATTGCCTTTAGAGAAAATATATATAAAGCTAAAACAACATACGGCGAATAGTATGCTCATAGACAAGAAATTGGCGTAACGTACGTGTAAGTTTTACATACTTCTGTTTGTTGAAAAACAAGAGGCATCATAGAATAACCGACAGACTACACCCAAAGCTAGCATTGGTGATTTCCAAACCTGAGTCTACGTATATATTGCTTTTAGGGAACATATATATAAAGCTAAAACAACATACGGCGAATAGTATGCTCATAGACAAGAAATTGGCGTAACGTACGTGTAAGTTTTACATACTTCTGTTTGTTGAAAAACAAGAGGCATCATAGAATAACCGAGAGGCTACATTCAAGCAAGGGGAGCATTGGTGATTTTCAAACCTGAATTTACATTATATTGCCTTTAGAGAAAATATATATCAAGCTAAAACAACATAATGCTCAGAGACAAGAAATTGGCGTAACGTACATGTAAGTTTTACATACTTCTGTGTGTTGAAAAACAAGAGGCATCATTGAATAACCGACAGGCTACATCCAAGCAAGGCTAGCATTGTTGATTTCCCAACCTGACAGAATACTGCAAATAGTATGCACATTGACGTGTAATTGGTAGAACGTAGATAGATGTAAGTGCTACTAACTTGTGTTTGTTGAAAAACAAGAGGCAGAATAGAATACTTGAAAGACATTTGCATGCATTTAACACTCGTATCCATCCGCCATGGTTTGTATGGAAATAAACAGGTGACAAAAACAGTCGTGTGTTTATTCTGCATGTGAATAAAGGCACTAATAGGTGTAATGGGTTATAACATGTGACAAATAACATCTACAATGCTTCTTACATATTTCTACGTGTATTGAAAGGAAATTGTGTGTGAAATTCATGATTTGCCGTAAGTTAAAGTAGATCATATACACATGCCTTTAATATTATGAAATAGCGGATATGACGAAAGAGACTCGGCTTGGATATCAATGGTTATTATTATCATTATCATTTAGATCTGATCTTACAACTGTGACATAAAATTTAGATTGGAACCATATTGAGATATGTGGATATCGCAGCATCGGGTCTTGTTAAGCAACTAGCTGTGAATAAAGAACTTTACTATTCTACCATTCACCAAACCTGCCAGTGAAATTATTTACAGTATCTTATTCTTTTTCTTTGACAGTGTGACAGGATCTAGCCGCTCCGGGTTGCTCAAGATGGCGTCTTCCTTGAGACTTTTACGGGAGAAGTTTAAGTCGGCTCTGGGAATTTCGCGGGAGGAGGACACCAAAACAATCGTGGACAAGGAAGAAATCGACGAGACAATACATGACCCGACCCCAAGTGTAGGCGAAGCGACACCTAGCGGCAGGAGGCCGCGATGGCAGCTTGTCTTCCTCAGCGCTACCGTCTGTGGGATCGAGTTGTGCTACGCCGCAGAAACAGCCTACGTCAGCCCTACTCTCCTCAACATCGGAGTCCCCGAGAGGTTTATGACACTAGCGTGGTGTCTGAGCCCGCTGCTCGGGTTCTTTCTCACCCCCCTACTCGGCTCGGCTAGCGACACCTGCCGCGCAAAGCTGGGACGGCGCCGCCCCTTCATTCTCCTGCTGTCAGCGGGGATAGTGACCGGGCTAGTTCTCGTTCCAAACGGTAGGGATATCGGCGTCGCCCTCGGTGACTCGAAAGACGGACATTTAGACGGGCATAACATCACCCTACCGACACCCCCACCCATAGAGAACACGACTCAAGCCGACAACGTCACAACAGCTGCAACAGAGTTGCCACCGACTGCCGACTACCCGACAAGCACCACGTCCGGAAACGCGTCAGACCAGTGGGTTGACATCACTTCCCCCGACCATCACGCCTGGGGTGTGGTGTTCACTGTGGTAGGCGTGGTTCTGCTGGACTTCAGCTGTGACGCCTGTCAGTCTCCCTGTCGTGCTTACCTCCTAGACGTGTGCGTACCAGAAGACCACGCTATCGGACTCACCACTTTTACTATCATGGCCGGCTTCGGGGGAGCAGTCGGGTATCTCGTAGGAGGACTGAACTGGGAGAACATTGAGATCGGTCGGCAACTAGGCGGACATGTAAGAGTCGTCTTCCTTGTCGTGCTAGTACTCTTCGTGATCGGGGTGTCCCTGACAGTCACCACGGCGAAAGAAACGCCGCTGCCAGAGCTTCTTCGCAAGGAGAAGAAGAAAGAGAGAAAAGATGGCGGCGGGTACCAGTCGTGTCACGACGAGGCAGCAACGGAAACGGAAATGACGAAACTCTCCGACGGGTATCAGAAAATCGGCGGGAAAAACACTGAAGAAAAAGACGACCAACAACAACAACAACAAGAGAAGAAGAAAATCGTCTCGTACCAAGAGAACTCCGTCATCAACGGTGACATCATCGGCAACGCCGACGGGCAACATCCGGGACATGCCGTTACCATGGAAACAACAGACGACAACGACGACTACGACCTTCAGGAGCCGACCCTCAAGACCTACCTGCTGTCCATCATCTACATGCCCAAGTGTTTGAGAATACTCTGCCTGACCAACTACCTGAACTGGATGGCCCTGGTGAGCTACTCGCTCTACTTCACGGACTTTGTCGGGCAGGCGGTGTACGGGGGCGACCCGCGGGCCCCGTCCGGGTCCCCGGCAAGGGAGCTGTATGACGAGGGCGTGCGCATGGGCAGCTGCGGCATGGCGGTGTACTCACTCACCTGCTCCCTCTACTCCATGGTGGTCGAGCAACTCATCTCACGAATAGGTAAGGCCTAGGGAAATCAACGCCAAGTCATGTAAAAAGAAAGCTTCAGCCCTTAGAGAGGGTCTCTCTCTCTCTCTCTAGTTTTGTCAACATTGCAGTGTTTAGTTGTAAAAGTTAAATTGCAGTTTTATTTATTGATAATAATTTTAAGAAAAACATGCCTGTGCAGAATCCGGAACGCCTGTAATGGAATAGATATTACAATGAAAATGTGTTGGTATCAAAGGACTTGATGGTCTTTTAAAGTCTTTATATAACGTTTTTACAGAGGTAAAGTCACAGTTGAACTTTCCTTTAAATACAATAGCACAATGGTGGGGTTTCTTATATTTTACTCCTGCAGAAGGAAAACGTATTGTTTTTGCTCTATTTCTTCTTCTTCTCATAACAGAAGCCTGTTAGCCTGGTAACTGGTACTGTAGCACACACCCTGTGGTGTTGGGTTACATTATGTAGCAAGTGGCAGGACAGAGTTGGAGGGGCTGGTCAGTCACAATATATATAGATACAAATGTTTTAGCAGTAGTTTCTTTTTTAAATGTCGCCTTTCAAGTTACCCCAAATGTTTTCCCCAGGCGCCCGAGCTGTCTACATGGCTGGCCAGATGACGCACTGCTGTGGCATGCTGGCCATGGGGCTGATCCGGCAGCGGTGGGCTGTCATCGTGCTGTCCTGCGCTGCCGGCGTGCTGTACGCCACCATCTTCACCATCCCCTTCATCCTGGTGGCCAGCTACCACTCCCAGGGCCTGGTGGGTATCTGTTAGCCTCTACTAAGCTTCGGGAGGCAGCTGGAAGGAGTAGAAATTGGCCAAATACAGCCTCTATTTGGCCACTTTCTAATCTATAGGCACGGTTCTGGATACAGCAAATACTTAGATTCTACCAGGCTTCGGGAAGCGGCTGGAAAGAGTAGATATTGGTGAAATAGACAGATACCATGCAAGTGAAGTTGGTGCAAACTGTACTCTCTAGCGGACCTTCTCCCTTAGCATGGTATCCGTTTTTCGCCAATATCTACTCTTTCCAGCCGCCTCCCGAAGCCTGGTAGAATCTGAGTATTTGCTGTATTCAGAACCGTGCCTATCTAGTTCTGTGCTTGAATGGCTGCTATTGTTCAGGTCTTCCTGGTTAACAGAAAACCATAATTGGGCTGACATGAATGACACAATGTGATTTATATGTCATGACCGTGAGTCTCTGTGTCTCTCTCTCAATATCTATATATTTTCCCCTTGTTTTTTTGTTTTCGTGGTTTTTGGTTTTCCTTTTCGTTCACTGTTCAGTTTGACCAGATCCGGGAGTCCGGAGGCAGGAAGAGCTACATCCGGGGCCTGGGAACAGACGTGGCTCTGGTCAGCAGCATGGTGTTCTTCGCGCAGCTGACCCTGTCGTCCTTCATCGGGTCCCTGGTCTCAGCGGTCAACTCCACCGTCGCCGTCATGGTGACGTCATCCATTCTCAGCTTCCTGGCGTCGGTGGCCGCCAGCAGGGTGACGTATCTAGGCTTGTGACGTCACCGTGTGACGTAAACTGCCGGTTATGGGTTTGTCATCATGTATACTAGCGTTATATAGATGTTAAGTGGCTATATTGAGGTAGGATTTGCGCTAAATTGGAATGTTCCTATATCTTGACAAGAAAAGTTGTCTGAATCCGGGTGACGTGTCTAGGCTTGTGACGTCATTATGACGTCGACATTTGAGGCAAACTGTCATTTTGTGATCATGTATTAGCGTTATTCAAATGTTAAGTGGCTATGTTGAAAACAAGTAGGATTTGCGCTAAAAGGAATGGTTCTATAGCTCTTATATCTTCACAAGTAAATATGTCTGATTCCGGATAGGCTTGTGACGTCACTGTGTGACGTCATCACTTGAGGCAAACTGTTGGTACTGATTTGTGAACATGTATACTAACGTTATTTTAATGTTAAGTGGCTATACTGAAAAGAAGTGAAATTTGTGCTAAAATTGAGTGTTCTTATAGATCTTCTATCTTGACAAGAAAAGTTGTCCGAATCAAGAAAAGAATCCGGGTGAGGTGTCTAGGCTTGTGTGACGTCACACTTGAGACAAACTGTTGATTATAAATTTGTGATTATGTATAGTAGCGTTATTTAGATGTTAAATGGTTATATTGAAAAAGAGTAAAATTTGTGCTAAAATTGAATGTTCTTATATAGTCTTCATGACAAGAAAAGTTGTCCAATTCCGGCTTATAAATGTTTGTATAGTATTACGAAATACGTTGCAACACCAAAGATCATTACAATGATAAAATGCCAATACCTTTGGCAAATTGAGGTCATATAACTATGGAGGCTAGAGTCTTCTTGATATTACATGTACATTATCATATCTATCTTATTCGAGAAAATAATCATGCCGATCTATACGATCATCATCATGGCTTGTCCTCGCGAACGAAGATCCGGAAGGCTTTTCACGCCGGCATGACCCCTGGTGGCTGAATAGACCGATTCTTGATAAGCAAGTCCTGCCACAAGTCACAATATAACAACAATAGAACGAATGTTATTGTTTCCTACGATAGTTTTGTTCACTGTTGAACGAAATGAAAACAAGCTAAGACAAGGTTCATATGCACAAAACGTATAATTACTTAAGTAAAGAAATCCTTTATAAAGCTCTTGGGCTAACTACAGGAAGCCACCTGTTATTACTAGACAGAGACGGTGGGCGTTATAGACTTGTAGCTGACGTCATGTATATATCAAGTAATTGGTCATTCGTAACTTTGAAGTCAGTCGAACTATGTACGTGTATTTTACGTGCTGGACTAAAGGGTATCTACCTCTTTTGAGAGGATTGTATTTAAGTCAACAGTTTGTAAAGAGCATGGTAAAAATCGTGTAATATTACTCCAGTACATAGAATTGAAATTGAGGACAGCGTGCAACTAATTTTGTTGAAATGTTTAGGTGCTCTCCTCAGCTAAATTACAAACTAGACAGACAGTGGAAATATAGTATATATACTTAGTCTGTTACGTCTGGTTACGTAACGTGGTGTTGGATATCTTGTATTTAAGGTTGTCTAGTCTAAGGAGTTTTAAGAGAGCTTAGCGTGTACGTATGGTGAAATTTTGTGAAATTGTAAGGTTTCTGCGTAAAGTTGTAAAGCTATAAACAGTACATGTAGCAAATGTATGAAAAGACAGTTTTTGTAGAGTGCATGTGGAGAAATAGTGGCAAAGTGTAGTAAAATGAAAAGTTGATGAAATTATAACGTTATTGCGTACCATATCTGCACTTGTTATTCCTCTATCTTGTTTTGTTTCTTTTATAGCATTTAATCGGCTCAAGCAAGGATGTTTTTTAAAACCATCTTGGCTCAAGCATGGCGCAAATACTAGTATATCATGGGATTCAGCTGCAGTTGGCAGAGATCTCAACAGGGAGCGTCTGTGTATCACTGTGAGAAGATGAGCGTACACTAGATAGGAATAGTCATACTTACCCAAGCGACCACCTCTATAAGCCAGTCATTTGGCCATAACTACCGCTTTTTCTCGGGCCCTTTTCCCCCCCACATAAGCATTAAGCGACTTGCCTAAGGCTGTCCAACGCGGCTGCGACCGGTACTATTTGGGACCGCACATGGCCCAATCTCTGCCTATGATGACCATGTCATTTTCAAGCGCGTGACCAAAAACTTTCTTTTGGTCTTAAAGCTCAGGATTCTTAAAAAATGCCAGCTCTTCATGTGTAATCATTTATTTACGAAGGACCAGCTCAGACTTGGTCGCAAAAATAGTTCGGTGTGAACTCTCACCTGTTACCTGTAGTCAATACCGCCTTCTTCGTTACTCATTAACTACAAAAAGCGGAACTTGCCGAGTCTACGCCATTTTGGAGCAGGACGTGTCTGACTGTAAGTCGAGCTCGCCATGTTCTCCTTCGGGTAGAGACAGAAATAAGCTCAAGTGCAGGTGAGTTTTACTTTGTCTGTTCTTAGAGATGCGTGAGACGTTTTGTTGGGATAGTTTATAACATACTCTCTGTTCAACATTCGTAAGAAAAACACATTAACGCCATATATTGTTATCAGCCAATTGTAACCCATTCAAAAGTATGTTTTCCCTAAAATTTAGTATGTTCTCTCATTTGACAAGGAATATGCTTTGTATTTGTTAGTTTTATCTAAGTTGTTTCTATCTGTAGTGTGGAGCCTATTAGATCATGTAATTTAGCCAACGATATTTGTGGTTTGCAATGTGGTTTTAGAATGTGCTGTGTGTGCCGTAAAATAGACCAATTTAAGTAGTACCAAACGTCATGAACTATGATAGCCATTACCTAAATAGTTGTAAATAGTTCTTGTATAGTCGGTTCGCTGGTTATAATTAAGGCCTGTTCAGTTTCGTCGTCCGATAGATTTTCAACTGTTTTTACACCAAATTGAGGGCAATGTTGAGAGAATTGTGGCGGCGTTGAATAGAGTTCAGCCGTCTTGTGACGGTGCAAAGGTTACTGCCGGTTATTTGCCCACGGTTGGTTCAAAGATACTGTAAATGCAGAAACTTTCGCGACGCGAATGAGTTTTTAATACTTTTGTACATGTACTGTACTGTACTATACTATACTAAAGAGTTATTTCATCATCCGTAAGCATTGAAACCATGCACAAAAGTCGCCTTTCCCCATAATACCGTACAATAAAACCAGTGCGAAGGTAAAATAATCTACATGATAATCTTACCACAAATGCTGTATTGTTGTACCACGAATTCAAAATAAAGCACATGTACTCAAGTGACTACACTGACAACTTATGAGTACAGGTAATTTATGAATGACGCCTTTCTGGGCAGTCTGGATTTAATTATCTACCTAACGCTTAAAGAATGCCACGCCTCATAGCTCTTGAGTGCTTTGCCATTAACAATAAAACGCTATGTTGATACTCAAAGTGCATGTAGAGGTCGACCAGCTTAAATTCTATTTATCTGGCCATACATAATATACGCAATAGCCATTTTGTAACTGCAAATGGCCGGTCACATCAGGGTTTCCAATACTTTTACGTGTATTTGATAATATAGTTACACCTTACACATACAATGGCTCCATAAAAACGCACATTTAGGGTCGATTTACCAAACCTGAAGATGATTCCCGCTCAGCTACTTTAAAGGGATACTTGACGAAGTTCAGCCTTCAAAACATTTCACTGTATGCTGAATGATTTGTAGAAATAAGCCGAAATAAAGGAACGTAAGAATTTAACGGGCCTGAGAAAATCCAATTGGCTTCTGTTTATTCGTCATCGAGAGCGGTGCGGGTGAGTTTTACTTTTTGTAATTGTTGGTTTTGTTGACACGAAATCACCACGCTCGTACTGGCCGTAGATTGTTTAGACATTGATGTTTATAATGTTTCAAAGTCCATTCATCTCTTATCAGTAAAACAACACTCCCGGACTTTTTCCAATCAATGTTTATGAAATGATAACAGATGTCCGCAGTAAAGGTTTTATCACCTTTACACAGCAGGTGTCCGGAGTAACGACCTGCCATGCTCGAGAACGAGTTTATGAGTGCTGTGGAGGAGGGAGACGTGCAGACCGTGAGGAGGGGACTGCAGGCCTGGTGGGACGTCAATCAGAGGTTTACAAGGTCATGGGTAACTGCAGTTTATGAACGTTTTTGGTTTGGAAGGTTGGCGTTTCTGTCGGTTTGTTGTGTAGCTCGTATTCCGTATACCGAATTTTTGTCAGTATCGCATGCTTTTTCAGCGGTGTAAGTAAGTAAGTAAGTAAGTAAGTATAGACAATTATGTCTGAGATTTGGGCATTTCGTCCAACTCATCATGATAGATCGTGACGTAGTGATGAACCGAGGTTGTGATACCGTTGCTCAGTATATTGAGATGGTAGCATCTAATGTGCTCTAACGTCGTATGTTTCAATCGCTCATGCAAGCTGTATCCATTTAATCTCCGGTCAAGAACAACATGCATGCAATGTGGATCTTGAATTAAAGTGTGATTCGTAAAGAAGATGTATCAGTAAGCTACACACTTTCACAAATAAATGTTTGGCAAAGTAAACACAGTGTAAAACATTCCTAAGGCTAATAGCAACATTCCTCTTAACGACATCTGAATACATCCGAAGTCATGTCGTTAAATTTCATCTTGCGATTGTAGATTGTCAATTGTAAAATCATTTAGTCATAGAATTCCTACTGACTTTGATCTGTTTAGATCCGCCGGTTTGCAGCATCCTTATGGTTTCTTCATGTTGTTACACAGTTTGGCTGGACCGCACTCCATCTGGCCATCTTCCACGGGCGGACTGGGGTAGTGGAGCTGCTGATTCAACATGGCGCTGATCTGGAGGCGAGGAGCGGGGTAAGTACAGACAACCATCTCGTGTAGTTCGGATCAAAGGATCATTAATGATGGTTGAGAAATATCTACTTTACTGAAAATACTCTTTGATGTTTTGGCTTTTAGGCCGTAAGGGTTAAGGTTTAACAGGAAGTTTTAAACTATCTACAAAAACTATAACGATGCGTTTCACGCAAGTGGCAAAGGAGATTGCGGTTTTTAGTCCAGGCTTTACAATATTTGATAGCCATATATAATAATGTTTTACAAGTAAACTTTACTCATGATATGTAACTGTCAACTGTAAAAGCACTTTCCTCTTTCCACTGAAAATTCTTCATGGCTGTCCTTGAGAGTCTGTTTGAATCTACCGATATGCAGCAGCTTTCTAGTTTCTCCGTGTGTTTACACAGGATGGCAGGACCGCACTCCATCTGGCCAGCTGGCGCGGGCAGACTGGGGTAGTGGAGCTGCTGATTCAACATGGCGCTGATCTGGAGGCGAGGACCAAGGTAAGTACAGACAATCATCTCATGTAGTTAGGATCAAAGGATCATTAATGATGGTTGAGAAACATTTACTTTACTGAGAATATTCTCTGATGTTTTGGCTTTTAGGCCGTAAGGGTTGAAGTTTAACAGGAAGTTTTAAACTATCTACGAAACCTGTAACTATGCGTTTCACGCAAGTGGCAAAGGAATTGCGGTTTTTGAATTGTTTTGGCAATGTTGGTTTTTGCAACTTACGGTATATATTATATATTTGCTCATTTTGCAACTGTTTTGTACAATTTACAGTATGGTTGAAAACCTTTTTTGGAGGGAAACGGCCGAACATTCATTCGCGCGCGGATGTCATCCATATAATCAAATCAATTTGGCCTGATGCTGTCTTAAAAGCTCAAATTAAATCGAGAACTTCTGCAAAGCGAAAGAATTACACGTGTTCAGTACCTTTTAACTATCCTAGATATCTTAGGCAGCATGTGGCGGAACTATAGCTAATTTACTGTTCGCTAAGGCCTTGCAATTTGGCGGTTTACCTTTCTCCAGCTACGTCGCGCACTAGTTAAATAATTTAGATTTAATATCGCTTTTCATACACGAGAAACTAGCAAAGATAGGAACGAAATTTTACGCTTTATACCATGTACACAGAATGGGAAAACACCACTGGACTTCGTGCATGACCAAGATAGCCGACGTTCCCTAAAGGTAAGGGTTTTACTGATATCTTTCACAGAATGTGCATAATAGTCTCAATAACGTTATAAAGCACACAAGAAGTCATATGAAAATCAAACTATATTAGTCGCGATGTTGAACGAATAGGTGCCTATAGTTTGGTTTTGCTTAATGACCCCTTGCTGACACTATGTTGAAAGCCATTTGTCAGAAAGGCTGAATTTTCGGATTACAAAAATTGATTGTTTCCATTGACCATCCAGAAACTGGCTAATGAGGTGGCTGTTGAGATTTCCTACCACAATTTGATGAAACAGTCCGGTGGGGAGAAAGTCGACAGGTTTAAACTGTGCCTCTGTGGACCACAGGAAGCTGGCAAATCTACTCTGATGGAAAGTTTTGAAACGGTAAGATACGACCATCTCTCTCCCCCCCCTCTCTCTCCCCTCTCTCTCTCTATATATATATACATATATTCAAGGTTGTGTTGAACCATTCTACTGTCACTGTTATTTTAGTTTTAGTCAAGACACGTGTGCGTTCTTAAGGAAAACTGGAATGACACATTCTTCTATCAATACATGTAGCACTGAAATGGACATTCTATACTACTTTTTTCTTTTAATTCGTATAGGGATTTGTCTTCGCTTTTATCCGGGATCGAATGACTCCAGACAATCAGCCACACGAGCCCACCCCAGGTGTGAATGTGGGAACAACCAACATCCCCGGTGTGGGGCAGGTCAGTGTGTGGGACTTCGCTGGACAGTCGGAGTACGCGGTAACCCACAGCATGTTCATGGATGCAGAGAACACCATCTTCATTGTGTTGTACAACATCATGGTCGACCACGAAACACAGACGAAAGAGGTGATTTCATCAACTAGATCCATGAGAATGGTACTGTTCTTTATGCATCTACGATGGCTTGGATAACAACTCACCATATCTTTACAGGTCCACTGGTGGCTGTGTTTCATCAAGTCCTGCAACACAAAGAGTAAGCCTTACGTCATCCTGGCGGCCAGTCATGCGGACCAGACTGATACAGGTACAGCTACTACCAAGACAAGTTTAGTTAGATGCTTCTTACATACAGGTAAGAGTTTTAAAGATGTTTCCTTTTAGTCTTCAAAGATGCATACAGTCTTTCATATCTAGTAAACCTCTCATCTAGATTATATCTTTTGGACAGGACATCAACGAGCATCTTTTATCCTTGAGTTGATGACGTCAGAGTTCAAGGATCACCTGAACATCTCAGACGAAGTGTTTCTCCTCGACTGCAGGAAGACACGTAAAACTGACATGAGGCGTCTTAAAGACCTTCTGACAAGACTGAAGTCTAAGCTTCTGGAAGTGAGTCACATTGTTTTGTAACATTTTTATGTCAGTTTTTTATTTACATTATTTGGAAACAGAATTGCATCTTTCGTCAAACATACATGCTGTAGTTAACAAAAATAAGGCATGTACACAAGGCATACAACGTGAATATATAACATTCAAAATACTTAGATTTGCAAACTAATTCAAAACCTGTCAAAAAAGATCATGTATCTGAATTTGACTATTACTCAACAACAATTGTAAGGCAGCTATGGCCTTAACTATACACTTTCATTTTGTAGCATCAGCGAGCCATCCCCAAACTGTGTGCTACGATCATTAAGCGCCTTCCAAAATGGGCCAAGGAGAAGTGCAGCCCGAAGTGTCCTGTCTTGAGATGGGCAGAGTACAAGGAGGCGGCGAAGGAGATCGACCGCTTTGTCGACGACGATTTCCTGAAGGCGTCATCACAGTACTTGGATCACCTTGGAGAGGTAAAAATCAGCAAAGTTAGCTGAATATTACTAGTATACGTTATCCGTCTTCCTTCATACTTGCTTCATGCAAACAAGCAGTGGCCAGCAGCTCGCAAACATTTTTTTGAGAGTCATATGAAAGTGAATAGTATATAGACAAGCATTTGTAGTAATCAATCGATATGACTATCAAATTGTTAGAGCAACATTTGTAAAATCCAAGCAAGCCAACCAAATAACCAACCAAATACCCAACCAAATACCCAACCAAATAACCAACCAAATACCCAACCAAATAACCAACCAAATCGTGTGGGGTCGTGTGGCGTAGCGGCAGTGTACGCGACTCGGAACTTAGAGTCCCGGGTTCGAGTCCTGACATGCCACCGATCTTGTGCCCTTGGGAAAGGCACTTTACACGGCTTTCCTCACTTAGCTCAGGTGTAAATGAGTATTGTCCTGTCATGTATTTGTCCCCTGTGTTGGTGGCGGCATTAATATAAGTTGAAAAAACTTGAGTGTGCCGTCACCGCGTCTGGTGATTACATGTTGGAATAAAAAAAAATAACCAACCAAATAACCAGCCAACCAACCAACCAACGAACGAACCAACCAACCAACCAACCAACCATTATTTGTATATTGTTCCAGATCTTGTTCGTTCCCCTGCAAAATGCCGACCCCATCATTGTCCTGAAGCCCAACTGGCTCTGCACGGATGTCTTCGGCAAGGTGATGGCTCCAGAAAACTTCCCCATCCATCTGAGAACCACCAGGAACATCGTAACGAAGAAGGAAATCCAGAAGGTGTTCCAAGATGTCGCCGATGTGGATCTCCTGATCACCCTGCTGCAAGAGTTCCAGCTCTGCCACACCTTTGACGGACAAGAGTTCGTCATCCCCGGGCTGCTGACACAGACCATGCCTCCAGAGAAGTGGCAGCCGACTGCCAACCCCGCCAAGACCGTCTACTTCGGCAGACAAGTCCAGTGTGCCGACACCACCGACATGTTCTCCTCCGCGTTCTTCCCCCGTGTGCAGACCCGCCTGATGAGGGAACTGAAGAATCGCCCCCTGCTGTGGAGAGACGGAGCCAAGTGTTACGACTCCAACGTGGAAAGCCTCATCAAGCTCTCCCCAGACGGCCGTGCGGTCAACATCTGCGTGCGAAGCAAGCAGGGCGACAAGCCGAGCTGCCGGCAGATGCTCCGGAAGATTGAGGTCATCCTGAACAACGTGCTCGACGAGGTCAGTCCAGGCACTACTACCAAGGAGAGGGTGCTCAGCGCTCGTGCACTGGAGGAACACAGAGAAGAATTCTTCTCCTACAGCATGGATCAGATCAACGAGGCCAAAGCAGAGGACGGCATCGTCCATCACGACATCCTCGGCTTCTCAGAAGACGTCGATGACCTCCTGTACGGCGGGAGAGACGAAGATGAAGAGGGGCAAGGAGCTGTTGGATACACGGTGCAACAGACGTTCCAAGAGACGTACGTGTACGGGACTGGTAATTATGTTATCAGTTCAGGGGATCATGCTCACTTCGACATGGCAAGAATCAAGCAAGGCGACCTGGGGCAGCTACAGTTGGAAGGGAATGGGCCTAGCGACCAGGGACAGCCACAGTTGGAAGGGAATGTTCCTGGCGATCTGGAACAGCTACAGTTGGAGGAGTGACTTTTCATTCATTCTAGCAAAAATGTAACAAAGGCTTCCTTTTTCCATAGGTGGTCACACCCTGCCCCTCCTCCAAAAAAGTAATCCAGGTTGTGTTTTTTTTTCTACCACTTCAGGAACAAGCTAAATTAATCATGAATAAAACCGTGGACGTACCAACCACTAAATATCCAATACCAGCCCAGAAAAGAAAGGGAAACACTGACTGTCATGCCTTCAAATATCAGAGTTATCAACCAAGAATTGTAATGGTAACGTTATCATCTGTGCAGCGTACCTCAAAATAGAAGAATGAATGTGCCTTAGAATCTGATCCCGGAGTCATTTCATTTCAAGCCATGGATATATTTTTCAATGGACATTACAGGTATACATTTGAACATGTAAATGACAGAGTTATACTGAAGTAAAGTCATTGTTCAACAATATCTTACGTTTTCCAAAAAGTGTTATGGAACATTATGTGATTGTCGATATATGTCTACAGCTTGAAGATGCTTATAAGAAAGTCTGTATAATATTGTAACAACATAGATGTATTGTTGACCAAAAATGCAATCTCTATTACACTTTTAGCAAACCAATACAGCGCAAATATTTTACTTCACTGATAATCTCTAGTATTTACTAGTATTTTATGAGAAAACCTCATCTGATGTGTGTTCTTAATGTCATTTTGAGAAAGCTACAATGCAAGAAAAACAACGTTGTTTTTTAATCTCACTATCCTTGATCTGTGTATCATTTAGCCTACATGAAATTGCATACAGCCAAAACAAACACAAAAGTAACATTTGCAAATAAAATGCATAATATTTACCTTCACATATAGTCTTGCTCAAACACATTCATATCTATGGCTAACAGGGGTCTAAATCCCTCCTGCTATAAAATTGCAACATGATGTAACCCAACACTAGTTACCATGGTGACAGACGTCTGGTTCAGATCATTGACCTTATTTGCTTGGAGAAGAGGAAGAAGAAACACAGCAAAAACAAAATGATTATATTGTACCTGTATTCAAGCCTACATGGTATAGCAGTAAACCATGGAAAATCTCATGTTTAGAAGTTCTGCTGCAGTAACAAGAAAAGAGGCCAGGGGTCCAAAGTGTAATATTTATCTAATTAATCTGTCTCTGATATTTTTGGTGAGTGAAGACCTACCCATCTACCGAGTTTTTTGACAATCCATTCGCACCTTCTTGAGTTATCGCGCTAAACTACATTCAAATATGCATGCATACCAACAAACGCTAACAAAAATATAACTTATAGGCGAAGGTAATAATGGTAAAGAAAATGAAAACAATAATATTTCATCTAGTTCTAAACCCTCTTGAGACAGCGGAATTACAAGTAGCTTTGCTTTATACCTTATGTTCGGTATAACGTGTAATTCGCCAAATACCCTGTATATGTTTCTTTGCGTGCGGCGGCGGTGCGAGCTTGTCATAGTCACAGGACAGCAGGTCAAAGGTCAGAGATAAAAGAAGTGAAAGTTGCACATAGAACCACCTGTTGCTTCTTGGCGCCGAAAACAACTTTTCTTTTCGCGTTTTCTTTACTACAAGAGAAGGTACTGAACAGGTAAGGTGAACTACTATCTCTGGGCACTTAACAGAGCCGTATTTAAACAGAAAGAGAGGTTTTAATGGCTTAAATGTTCGAAATGGCCGAACACAATCAACTTTGTATGCGGGAGGGGGGTACTAGAATTTGGTTGATTTGGTTTCAGTGACCTAAATGTATCACGTTACTACAGATAAAACAGAGTTGAATCGTTCTTGTTTTGCGTATTATAATGTTAAGGGAAGTCTCTGCTTTGTCTTACCGTATAAAAAGGAGAACGTTTTCTGGCATTGTTTGCTACAATTTGTACTCGTGAGGTCATAGATTTGCCAGTAGATAACATAGGATTAAACGTAACTTATTAACATTGGCGTTACATCCTTGAAGTGTTTCTTACAGTTTATAACAACTGTTTCTACTTTTATGGCAAGTGTGTAGGCATCAGAAAGTTGCTTATGGTCTCATGAAATTGTGTTGTAGTGTTTTTATGTTTAATCTATAGGAACAAAATGTAATTAAACACGTTTTGTCTCCCTTTAGCTGCTCCCTCCGCCATTTTCTTCCTCTTTGAAATCCTACAAAATACATGTTAAAGATGAGATAAAGTTCCTTTTAATCTGAGTAGTAAAGTATTAACTTTAAGAAAACAAGAAGTAAAGTATTTTTTACCTTAGACATTATCAGATTCCCCCTAAAATACATGTATACGGTGGCATAATGGTAGGCATAGGGCATTCAGCTCAGAACCAAGCGGTCCTGGGTTCAAATCCTACTATGTCACCAACCTTGTACCCTTGGGAAAGGCATTTAAATGACGTTCTTCACTTCGCTTAGGTGAAAATGAGCATGCCAGAATGATCATTATCATGATAATGGGAATTAAAAGAAAAGAAAAACCAAACAAATCATTTAACTCGAAGAATTCTTTACTCCACCAGACATCAGCATGTTTGCATCTGAAGACACCGAGGGGTTTGCTGGAGCCAGTATGGAGTTTGATGACTCAGCTGTGCGCAGATGTGAGTACTGCCTACTAGTAGATATGTTTCAATTTTATGTTTATCTTTGCAGAAGGAATACACATTGTTTTTGCTCTGTGTCTTCTTCTTCTCTAAACATAAGGGAGAAATAGTGTTACTACCCTCAAGCCTGTATATAACTGTCTTTTGATACATGATAATTTACATCAAGTCACAAAAACTTTACTGGGCTGATGATGAGACAGGGTGTATCTCAAAAGCTCTGCAGAGTAGCTAGCTTCCTGTTGTGTGAATTTTTGTCAAAAGGAATGTTTTGGTCTATATTTGATTTCTTGTCATTTTCTTTCAGCCTTCATGAGAAAGGTCTTCAGTATCCTGATGGCACAACTGGTGGTCACAATCGGCATCATCTGCATCTTCCTATATGTGTAAGTTGGTCATTAAACTTTTTGGGCATAGTTAAATCTCCAAGCAGATCCCTCTCGGTGGCCAAAAGACAGTATCAAATTGGCCAGGCAGTATCCATTGGCCAGAGAAGGTCCGCGGCTACCGACAGGGTTCGCTGGTGGGAGTAGCGAAAAAAAAACCCTGCCATATATAAAAAGGTAACGATCATTCCCCTACAACCTCTGCTTGGAGAGTAGGCGTAGTGACTATAGTTGGATTTGCTCAAAACATCTTGTTTTTAAATTCATAAATGACATATACAGATAAATGTGCGGATACATGGCCCTGCATGTATAATTCAATCTTAACTCATCTTAGACTGCTGGCTTTATGTCAGAATTGTTTTTGTTAATAATCTTATGTTTGCATTATAGGGATGAAGTGAGAGAGTTTTCTAGGGAGCACTTTTGGATGTACTATGTGGCTCTGTAAGTATACACTGTACATGTATAATATCTATCTACTATACATGTAGCATTGCTGAATGTGTTTTGAATCTGAATGGTCAGCCTGTATAACTCTATGCCCTCAGTATAACAGACATGCTTTGCAAGCACAGGGCCTCCAGGGCCTGTGATATCACAGGTGCCATGCAGTTGGCTTAATGGTTCTGTCTAGTGGGGAAACATATATTCCAGATAAACTGCAGAAAAGCTAGTGCCACCTGGCAGATTAGTCCATAGAATTTCATGCATGTCAGACTCTCACTAAAATGACTTGTCACACCTAAACAAACTACTAGTAACAAATCTATCAAAGTAGCACAGTGTCAAGTGTATTTAATGGTGAGTTTTGAGCAGTATTCTGTATTGTTTTCAGTGAAATCTGCAGTAGAATTTTGATGAAGTCTAACAACTTCTAATGCCTGAACTGCTCTAACCAAGGAGGTTTAAAATCTTGTATTTAACCTTCTTGCCCTAACTAGCCTGGCCATTTGAAGCTTAACATGTATCAGATAAAGATGACACTACAAGTATTTTATATTTTGATTGTCAGTTTTGAGCAGTGTTACTTGTGTATATTTTCCAGGGGCATCACATTTGTGATGATCATCATGCTGGCCTGCTGTCCCAACATCAGGAGAAACTTCCCTGTCAACTTCATCTGCCTTGCCATCTTTGTAAGTACATACATACATAGTAGCTACATACATATCCAGGCATTGATTATTCTGCTGCCGGCTTTCCTGTCTCAGGGGTGGGCAGCAGTCGGCTAGACTGGGCTCCATGTCTCCATGTGACCCTGTTCAGTGGGTCAATGTTGGACAGTCCACACATTCTAATGTCATCTTTGTAAGTCTGTTGTTAATTAAATGGGGTGCGATAACATGTTGTGATTATAAACTTGTGCAACAAGCTTACTTGATAATGCACAGAATATTGGGAGAAACTTGTACTAAGTTGTGGGATGTATATACAGATTCACAAGATGGGATGGTCCTGTAATTTACTGAAGAAGATGCAGCACCGCTCGATGTCCCACTGGATTGCATTGTGTAGGCTAGCTAAACCAAATGGAGTATCAGTCGGCGCCTCATTTTTGTGCAAGATCATGTGCGTTCGCGCAGTGCCGTACTCTCGCGGGACCGCTTTTCAAAATGGCCGCGGAGATTGGAATTACGTCTATTCAGCTCTTCTGATGGAAATGGCTTTCTTCTGTTTTGTAATGTTTAAAAAACATTTCTTTAGTTTAGAAACCATTGTATATATATATATATATATTCTATAATCATTGAAATTTACACGGCTTTTATTTACAGACACTGGCAGAAGGCTATCTCCTTGGTTCCATCTCAGCGTAAGTAAAGTTCACAGAAGGGATTTTTCATGGGAATGGGTTGTGCTAATAGATTGACGATTTGTGTCAATAAGCAGAATCAAGTCAGCAATATATTGATTTGATATTCATGTTTTGAAACATTTCATTCTTTTCTGAACTTCTTGTTGGTAAAAAATTAACTTTAAGCTAAATTGCCATTAAGCCCCAGATGTATTGTGCAAGCACGTCTAACCCTAGGAAGACGGGGAGCAACAGACGATAAACTGGACAGTGAATGAGTGAGTGTAAATAGCTATCAGTTTACAATGGTAACTTAATTCTCATTGTATTTAACCCTGACAGGGCCTATGGTGCAGATGCAGTGATGTGGGCAGCAGGCATCACTGCTGTGGTGGCTTTGTCTCTCACTATCTTCGCATTGCAGACAAAGGTAACATATAGCAAACCACCCTTTTTTTAAAGAGCTTTATGTAATACAAAGAGTGTATTGCAGAGGTGTGTTCACTGTCAGAAAAAAATTGTGGTTACAAGGGAATAAAAAGCACAACTTGTGAAGTAATAATGAAGGTATAATTATTACTTACAAGTCATGTAATGGTAAGACTTGAGGAAAAAAGAAGTCAGACCATGTTATTCAGGGACAGTACAGTGGTACAGAAGGCTATGAAGGCAGCAGACTGTAAGATCAGCACCAAGGACAGGGATGGCAGAGAAGGCACCGGGAACAATGGAGTGGAAAATTAGCACCAAGGACAGGGACAAAGAAGTTTGATATTTGTGTTCATCTTGGTGGATTGACTAGTCTTATTATACAACATGCACCATGTTTTAAGATGTCATTATTATTAATTACAGATTAATTTTTAGTAGGTTAAACATGTGCTAATGCCTTACCATACCCCCTCCGCCTTCAGATTGACTTCACAGTATAGTAATGGCTGTCTATTTGCATTTCTTATGCAAGTACATGTAGGTTACATTTAGTATTGACACCCCACTATGTGCTGATGCCTAACCATTTCCCCCCCCCCCCCCCAGATTGACTTCACAGTGATGGGAGGCTGTCTGTTTGTGTTTCTGATTGTGCTCCTGTGTTTTGGGCTCCTGTGTGCCATCATCCGCAACCAGGTAAGGCACTCTTCACACAACTTTCTAACTTGTAATGTTTTGACCAATGAACGTTTTATAGTAGATCCATTATGCAATGTACAGCAGATACCATTAAAGGTATAATCATTTCACTAATGGCATGAATTATCAAGAACACACTGTCCATTGAAATGAAAAAAAGAGGCACTACCTGTTATTTTTTTTGGAAATTTTCAGAGGGCTTGATTTTTTTAAAGATGGCAGTAGAAATAAGACTGATTATACAATATATACATGCATGTGCTGCAACAATAGCAAGAGCAAGCCAGAGAACAAAGTTAAAAAAAAAGTTACATGATTTTCTCAACGTTTCGCAACATGGGTTTAAAAAATAACACAGTTCTTGTCTGTCCTGCAAGCCATTATATTTATAATACTAATTCAACATGTCTTTTACAGTATGCCAACATTGCGTATGCATCCTTGGGAGCCCTGCTGTTTGCTTTCGTAAGTATGGTGTTCAACACAAGTTCATTTTGTGTCAATATTCACACAGATCTACCATCTTTTTGCTGTATTCTTAAGGTTATTTTAACAGACATGTCATGCAATTGACAACAGATCGGTACAAGAAACAAAGGAAAATAATGGTAAAGGTGCTAGTTAGTGATTTAACAATATGTACTTTTTGGTCCCATTTTCACACAAATCTACCATACTTTTTTGTTGTAATCCTTGTGTTCAGGTACCTTTTGACATGGATTTCAATCATGTAGGAGTGAAATCGCTAGAACCCTGTTTAAAAGTATTACAAAATGTATAATGATTAGAAATTGATAGTGTATTAACTTTACAAATGTACATTTAGTTTAGTAAAGCATAAAGATTAGGTGTTAATGTACTTTTTGTTCCCTTCTCCCCAGTACCTGGTGTATGACATCCAGCTGATGATGGGAGGGAAGCATAAGTACTCCCTCTCACCTGAGGAGTACATCTTTGCAGCGCTGAACCTGTACCTGGACATTGTCAACATGTTCCTCTACATCTTGTACCTGGTCGCTGCTGCTAAAAACTGATAAATGTATCAGCCAAAAACTGATAAACGCTGCAGCCAAAAATTGATAAACATATCATCTTATCTATCCCTTGGGCTCAAAGCAACCAAAAATGGTTAAACGTAGGCAATGAAAGTCCGAGATTGTGTTGTAAGGAATGGTACGGTATCCTAGCCTGGGTACCATCCGGATTTTTGCTACGCAAAAAACAAAAATCTGGATGGTAGTACCCATGCTAACGGTATCCTTGATATCTTAGCAAAAATTCTACAAAATTTTATGTACCAGAAAAATTAGGCTTTATGTATGTGAGAAAAATCAGGCTTGCCTATAGATCCTTTAATCAATGTTGCCAAAAATCGATTCAAGTTGGATTTTCTTAGTCATGTAGATACTAGTATATGACTTATGAAAATTAGATGAACGTATCCAAAATGGTTTTCCAACATAGTAGTTCCTTGGCATAGAGTAGATTTCTCTTTGATTTTTCCAAGGATCAGTTGTTAAAAAACTTGTAGAAGGGTTGTACTTGCTTTAGAGGCCCTTTCTTTTTAAAAATCAAAAAGATACATGCCACTGGATACATAATCCTTAGTTCACCAGTATGACAGGAAAAGTAGCAAAGTTTTTTAAAGAATCAAGTACTGTATAAGTTAGTATGGAGTAAACAAATTGTATATGTAATTGGCAGTAGCAAAATGTGTATCTATGCAAATTCTAAATGGTTTTGATTTCTATATATTAAGTTATTCATATTGATGTGATGAATACCTGATGTATATGTGTGTATATATGAAATAATGGATTTGGTTTTGGTATGAGAAATAAATAATATATTACAATTCAGTAGTGACCAACATAAGATTATGTTAATATTAATGTTATGTATCCAGCTCTCTTTCATTCTTACTTTGGTGTATTTGCAAAGAATTAAAGGATAGACAGGGTTTCAGTTGTTTTGGATTTTGGCTTTAATTAGCTTTAATAACAACTTCAGTATTACTACTTTTATTATCAGTATTATTAACTTTGACAGTCCTCCAATGTTCAACATCTTTTACAAAATCATATCCCTAAGAATGCATTGACATTTCTCTATCTCCTATCTTTATGACTATAAATGTATACGTGGTGTTGTTTGCTTGTTGCAAATCAGGGTCTCATCTAGTATTAAACTTGTGTTGCAGTTCATGTCATTTATCTATTCCTTTTTGACTCTTGAATAGATTATTCAGTAATGTACACTAATGTCATGTAATAATATATGTGCCAGTGAAACAGGGTAGAAAATAAAATGTCTTGTTGCAGACACTTGTCTGTCCCTTCCTTACTGTATCTGTACCTGTATAGCCGGTATAACAGCCTTTCAGTGTAACACACCAGCTTCTGTATCTGTATAGCCAGTATAACCGCCTTTCGGCGTAACACACCAGCTTTGCAGGCACGCGGCGCGGCAGCAGCTGGCTATATTACACCGATCGACTTGTTACACCTAACCCTTGAACTTCTAGACATTGTTGAGAGCTATCTAATGACAATGCCCCTACTGTACTTGGTGACAGCGAGTTCCACTCTGCTATACTTCTAGGAAAGAATGAAGTCTCCTTAACTATGACACCAAAGTTGAGAGGGTACCAGTGTGTTCACATTCTGTGAGACTTGATATGCATGTATTTTATTGGCACTGTATATCACAATATACTGCGAGTCTAGAAATCAATGTCTTTACAATATTTAATTCACTTCATTATAGGCACAGTAAATGCATGTGAGGACATACACAGGGCTACAATTGATGAAACTATAACACAATCTGCAGTTCATGGTTCATTATAATATGATTATAAAGTACGCTTCCCTGCAATGTTCAACATATCATTTCTCTTTGGGGTTGTTTTCTCTGCTTTTGGACAGCAGAGGTTGCGGGAGACCTAAAAAGACCTGTGGTCGGAGGGTATTAAAAAGAACAACAGAGTGCAGCCTTGCTGGTGTAAGCTCGCTGCATAGAGCTGCCTGGAGATGCGGTGTGAAGTCCAGTACTACTAGCTGACTGGAGCAGTATAATCTAAGCCTGGATAGTGAAGGAGTTTAATTTGTATTACTAAAAAGATTACTCAAGTTTTAATATACAGAGAATATAGAATTGTCCTACATGTAGATATGCTACAGTCCCTTTTGACTGAAGATTTAAGTCTAATTTTGCTTCTCTTCTCATTTTACCTCCATATTTGTAATCATCATTTTCCTCTTCAAGTTTTCTGCAATCCCTTCTGAATCTCAGAATCTACCCTTGACGCAATTAAGGCCAATGTCTAGTGCCTGATCACAGGTGGATGAAAAGTTCGCTGTGCACATGCACCACCTATCAGTTGGCAGGTAAACTGCAGGATACTACCAGCTGAATTTGTATGTGGTTGGGAACAGTTTCTGGTGAATGTATTTTGCTCTGGCCTGGTCAGTTTTCAGCAAACCGAACTCAAAGTATGGCACCTGGAAAACAAGAGGAAATGTTTTGAAAAATCCCCAATACATAGATAAGAGAAACAAACAAACTGTAGCATCTGGAGTCCAATAATTCACCATAGGCCAAAAATATAAGAAATCTGTCACACCCACAATAAGTTACAGCTGCAAAAACAAAGTTCACATAGCTGTATTGGTACATGTTTAAAGTTACAACTTTCGATCCAACACAAGGTGAATTTTCTCACTTTGAGCTTTCAACAAGTTTCTCTGGTCTTCCTCAGTAGACTAACCCAGTGAGACTTGTCATGTGGCTTCTTTGAAGTGTGACGTCAACACTGGGTCAAAATTTTTAACTTTCATCTTGTAACTACCAACACACGTACAGATGAACTTTCTTGATACTGTTTGGTACAATGTAGGTCATTAATGCTATGCTATAGGTATTGGTGCACCAGCCACTTTCATTTTATGTTTATGTTGTATTTTATGCCATCTTTATGTTTACATTTGTATTATGTTTTATGAGCAGCGGATTCACATAAGCACAACAAGTGCTTCCTATCTAATGCTCAAAAATCCATGTGAATGAAATAAAATAAAAAATGAAATGTAGGTGTTATCAAGGTGTGCACCTACCTGTACCACCTGGTACCCCAGCAGTTTCAGGTGTCGCAGCTTCATCACCTGTCTGCCCAGCAGGTGCTCCGTACCCGTGCAGAAGTGATGAGGGAACAGGACACAGACCACGATTCTGGGGAAAAAAATCAAAATAAGATTTAATTTTTTCAGCTGTAAACAAAGAAAATGTATGATGGCAGCATATGCTGCACTACTGGAATAACTGGCGAAAAAGGAAGATGTCATTTCATGACACTTACATGTCTTGCCACATATATATTAATATCCATACAGTAGTGTACAGAAGCACACATACAAGCACACACACACAAACACACACATTTGATATTGTACCTTTTTTGGACATCATCTTCATTGTCATTTCCATATCCATTGCTGTATGGTAGCACATGTCCCTCCTTGTCTAGCTTGACTTCAAAATCTGAAGAAAAAAAAGATTATGAAATATCAGTTTGAGTTTGGACATGATAGTTTTAATTTTTTTTGCAGAGAACACCAAGTTCATTTTTGCATCAGTTTAATCTATCAGTCAAGCAAATGACAAACAAAATGTCTGAGTGTCTGACCAGCGATGTAGCCAGAAGGTAGCATCACGTTGTGGTGCAGATACTGCCTGCCTCCCAGCACACTGATGAGTGACTGCTGTAGGATGTACATGGTGGGGTGGTCAAAGAACCTGGGCGCTGGCAGCTGGGGGTCTAACGGTCGACTGAACTTCTTCCTGTACAGTAAAACAGTTTCAATGCACTCATTAATAATAATCTTTATTGGGTTATACTTGTTCACATAAATGCATACTTAGGGATAAAGGGAAACATCTCCCAAAGTACTTGTGATACATGTAGCTTAGTACAGTTAACAGAACTTTGAATGGCTATTTTTTTCTCATTTATTAACAATGTAAGTTATACTTGAAATACTTGTACTAAGTTGTAGGTACATGACTAGTAACAAGACTTGTATTTAGGTCTGTATTAAGAACTTCCTTTTAGTTTTTACCTATGTGTATATTGCACAAAAATCTGTAAAAGTTAACTAAAACACATGTTAAATGGGCATATTCAACAACAACAAATAACATTATGAACACATACACATGATTTTCTTTAAGTTAGTATTAAGAGGATACAAAGGATAACCTACATGAATCTCTGAGTCTGAAACTGTGGGCATTCTAACTCCACTGCCAACATCAGCTGTGTCAGTTGCTTGTGAATCTCCTTGTCTATTGTACCGGAAACTCCTAGAATAAGAACAAGATACATTATAAATATAAGAGATAATACATTTAGGGGTAACATTTCCATACTGTGAGTTGAGTTCAATGATGTAAAAGTCTGAAGATGAACTGTACATTTAAACAGTGGAATTAGAATTTTATACATTTATCAACCCTTATAATTTGGATCTATGTTCCGTGCTTCTACTAGTACCTAGTACTGTGCTGTGTTGTTGTACTGTCCTTGTGTTTGGGGGTGCAACTACTTGTTAAACAACAGTTTTGCCATCTCCAAATCATGACATGATGTGCATGTGTGTAAAATGGTCTCATACCTTCTAGCTGCATCTCTGCATAAGGACTGCAAACTCTGTTCACAAAGTTCAGTGGAATCCTCCCGACACAGGCAAAAGAGTACAACATGTTCACCATTGTCTCTAACGGAAACAGGTGAAACCTGGCCATCAACAAATCTTCCACCTTCTCCAGAAACCGGTACGCGTTAGGAGGCAGGTAGTTCAACTTTCCGTAGGGTACAATCTGACTGGCGATTTGTTCTGGTGAGAAACCTTCAGCGTTGTAGACAAAACTTTCTGCGACAGCGTCGAAAACTGGCTTGGAAAGAACCCGTTTGGAAGAGAAGTAGTCCATGACTTTGGAGACAGTCGTAGGGTCCATTGTGAACACTCTGTTTGGAACACACTGTTCAAGCGCCTTAGTTAAAGACCAGTCATGGTGATCAAAGTGGATGTACGCATCCAATATATCACAGAGTTCTGCATCTGTGTATCGTGGCACGTACTTGTACGCAAACCTTGCAAGGCGGAGGAAAATTGAGAGAGAGTTTATGTTTCCCTGAAGTTGTGTCAGAGACTTGGCAACTGCACTTATGTCGTGGGGTGATAGTCTAGGTGTTACAGACATTGTCTTTTGCACCAGCAAACTTCTCAACTCATTAGGCACTTGTGGAAGGACTTTGAGAAAGCTGTACAATCCGGCGATGTTTTCCTCACTCACTTCTTCCCACTTTTCTACCACATCTTCAGCAATTTCTTCAAGAACTGGTAGGTCTTTCTGAAGGTGTCCTAGGAACTTCCCTACTTCAAAAAGCTCTGAGACATTAAACTGTCCTCTTGTAACTCTTAAAGTACACTCGGCAATGAGTGCACTTGGTAGGTAGTCTGCTGAACTCATACTAAACATGTAGGCACTTTGTAATGCCAGTATGAGAGCTGGAGTAGACAGATAGCCTGCATTGTTTACTATCTTCCTGCAGAGACCTTTGAAAAAGTCTTGACTCAGAGTTCTGCCTTGGGCACTTTTCTTCATCTCCATTTTAGAAACTGTGTACAGTGCAATGGCCGTTGCCTCTAGTGACAGACTGTCTTTTAAATCAGCTTTCTCTAGCAGTTTTTGAACTTGCTTAACAGTAGTGCAGCTTTCGAACTTGTGCTGTAAGTAGAGTTTGTCTCCCTCTAGTTTGGCGACTGTTTCTTGTGATAGTTTCTTGTCTGGTAGCAGCACTACTGTGATTTTGCTGGATTTTTTGCCTCCTGTGCTGAGTGCTGCTGATGGTATTGTTGTAGCATCCAGGATGGCTGCATCTCTAAATTGTGCACGGCTGGGGCTTTTTGTAGTAAGACAAGAGACCTGGCACAGGTGCTGTAGTGTTTTAGGTGAGTTGTGGGAAAGTCTGGTACCGCAGGTTATACAAGTTAGCAGCCTGGCTGCCATAGTGTTCATGAAGTATGTTTAGCAGGTGGAAAGGAACGTGATGCTTTCAACGCTTACTTCTTATTGAAGCTCGATCAGTCTACTTCTGAAAAATGTAAATGTGAAAAAGTGTAAATATGAAAAAAAATCTTATGTAAAGCAGTCTCTTATGCCATGACAATGCTAGTGTTGTAACGTTAACGTTATATATTAACATTATGTAACGTTATGTACTTATGTGTCAATACTTTTTTTTTTCAAAATCATATTTACAACTACTCAAATTGTACAAAAAGTTGTGGAATCGGACTGAGTAATATTAAACGATTGCAGTTAGCTAGACGTGTATAAAACGGCTCTTACGACACCACGTACGTACATGACACGCGCTTCGATGATGGCATGTTGTTTTCTTTACTAGTATATGCCCCCCTCCCCCTTCCACAAAAATCTTTCGGTGACGCACGCATCTACTAAAAATCTTAAAACAAGAGAAGCATGTAAGATAAAACACTTAAGGTTTACCTGCATAGAAACTAGGAGACTCACCACTTTGCGTGTACGTAGCTTAAATAACGGCCTCACAAAATATCGTTTCGTAACTCATTTTGTAACTTGCTTGGATTGACCCCAAATAACCTATGACCTTTGCCCTGAAATATATAATTTTTTTTCGTATGTAAAGAAATAATGACAGAAATGGGCAACTCAAATACATTTGAATTAATCATTGTTAATGGAAAAGTCTAGCATTATACGTACTTTAATCAATTTATTCATTTTTTAGTGGAAAGAAAATCGACCCGGAAATGATATGGCTATTTCCGGTGACCTAAGTTTGAAACACCGGCTGAAAAAAAGGGTACAACTACTAGTACTGTGTTTTGTCATCATTTCTGGCACAAAATAAGCGTTTTCGCTGTTTTTTTCTGTCAGAATCTGTGACTGAAAGGCGCATGAACACAATGTTGGTGAATTTTGGTGAAGTTTTGGCGGTATTTTCCCTGTTTTTGGCGTTTTGTACGGCGAAGAGAGACCCGGAGTTGTACTGTGGAGGTGAGTAGTACACACATGTCAAACGCTCATTGGCTACAGGCTAAGGGCATTTAAACTAAGTTTAATCAACAGATGTCCTTTGGGTTCAAATAGACAGGACCTTGTTAGGATTAGAAAAAGACCTATTTGTCTGTTCAGTTTATATTAGTCCAAGTGCATCTAAAACTCATAAGTATGCAGAAAATCATGTAATTGAAATACTAGAGGACGAAATTGCTAAATACAGCGCCCAGGGGTTTATTCTTCTCGGCGGTGATCTTAACTCTCGGCTGGGAAATCTACAAGACTCTATTGACAACGACGCTTTTGACGATAACCATTTAAACAACGTCTTAATCCACACTTCAGATAGACAGCACATGGACAGAGCGCCCCCCAACAAATTTGGAAGATTTGTTGTCGACTTATGTGTTCAGGGTAACCTTAAAATACTTAACGGCAGAGTAGCTGGCGATCTGCAGGGCAAGTTCACTTGTCATCAACCAAAAGGTAGCAGCACGGTAGATTATGTCATCTGCAGCCAACCTCTCTTTGAACACATCTTATTCTTCCGAGTAAATCCCTTAACCATCTTTTCTGATCATTGTATGTTATCGGTTACAATGCGTACAAAATCATTACATTTCTACAACAAAGATAAACATAGAAACACAAACACAAAACCCCTTCCAAAAAGATTTCATTGGAGTGAAAACTCAGCAGAACAATTTATCCAATCCCTTAGCCAACCCCAAATCGTAGACAGATTGCAAGCTCTTTCGGTTAAAAGTAG